CCTCCTGAAAAGCATTTCTAACACTCCATTGCTCATTATAGCATACAAGTGGAGGTACCTCCGTAGGTGAGCAGAATGATTTCCAGATGAATTCATCAGCATATTTCAACTTTTAACTAAAAATTTAATTGATTTAACTGCTATTAATCACTCCTCTTGCTCTTCTTATAGAAGAGACGACACTAAAATGATCATTCTTGGAGATATAAATCGAAAAATTATCATTATAATTAGTTTAATAGAGTATTTAGCTTTTAATATTTAAATAAATTTTTGGAATTTGTAAATATCTTAGGATATATTATCCATAGATTTCATGGGTGCTTCAGAGAAAATTTAACGAAAATAAATTCTATTTATCAACATTTATTTACGATTTTTTTTAAATTTTACCTTATTATTAAGTAGAAAATATGAATAAAATTAAAAATTTGTTGGGAAATTTCATTAATGAAAGAAGGACACCACTCGGGGCTGGAAATATGCCAGATCCTACAGGAAAAGTCTAACCTATATGAGTGTACGACTAGTAATCACTTTATTGCAGATCTTCAGACAGTAAGTTTACCACAGATTACCACAGGTACCGCGGACAAAGTGGTTTTATTTTTTACAGATTACCACAGTTACCACAGATGATGAATGCCCTTCACTTGAGGCACATGTGGTGGTGGTGGTGGTATCATAAACATCTATATCATCCTCTTGGTAAGTCTAGCTATATTGCTTGCCTCATTATTCTAATTTTCAGAGTTTCTTCTTTGATTTATGCGATTTCTAAGAGAATTCTTTCTGATTATGCACCTATTCTCTGTTTTTCAAAGTATGGCTCACGTACTACTTCTTATAACTTGTGGATCATCAGAGGAAATGAGGAGGAATTTTAATTTTTAATATTATTTTAATTAATGAGAATTTAGTAGATGAAAATTTTGCCAATTATTTACCTAAATTACCAATTAAATTAACTTATTTATTAAAATATTTCGAATAAAATGCCATTATACTAATACACTGATTATTTATTAGTATAGGGAAATAAATAAGCACAAAAATGACGTGGATAATATAACATATATAGACATATATATATATATATCAGTATCATAAATTACTTTATTTAATTCTTTTGTAACGATTTCTAACGGTGAATTACCTTAAACGTGACGTATAAATCACCCTACGAAGGTAAGAATTATATTTATTAACGTATATTTTTTGAATAGAAGAAAATAAGTATTAAGTCGAAACAAAATTTATAAAGAAAGTTATAATTTTAATACGTATAAAGACATAAAATATTTACTTTAACACTCGGTGTTCGTAATGTGTGAGGTCAGTGTCATCAAACGTGACATAAGCTAAAGCTATACCTTTCTACCGGTATAGGTGTGCTCTACAGTTTGAAAGATGAATACCAACAGAGGTTAGAGAACTCGATAAGTCCGGGTTATACTTTAGTACGTCCCTCGTAACGTCCTTCTACAACCACTGTCAAGGTTGCTTAGTAAAACGAGTAGAAGGGGGGAAAAACAACACGATTATTGGGGTGGAGGTTGTTCTGCCGCTCTCACTTCTACCCGAGATATTCATCAAAATATAGACGCGTATCTTTAATAAACTACCGTCGACATCATCGAAATTTACTTTATTTATACTTTAAATTTATGCTAATATTAGAAATGAATATAATTGTAACATCTATTACTTTCGTCTACTGTAAATATTATAGTTAAAGATGATAAATATTTATTAGAAATAAGACATTTCGATTTGATGTTAGTTGGATTCCAAGAGGATGATATAAATATTCTGAAATAAGTATTAGTGTCTTCGATGTAGAATTAAATAAGCCTCGTCTCTACTTTTAATGTGCTGATAACTAACATTAAAGAGGATGATAATTATTACTTCGAATGTGCTGATGGTTAGAAATGACGATGGTCTCTTGCAGGTAACTCCAGAAATCATTATATTGTAGGCCTGTGTTAAGTAGTTTATTATATTTTGTAGCTAAAAATTGTTCAGCTTTTCATTATTGTTTTAGACGATGTAATTCTATCTTTAGAATTTTACTGTTTATAATTCTATGATTTAATTTTTCCATTTATATATTAATAGAATTTTTTAATTAAATATTTTAATGTTACTAATTTATACTCGATTATTTTATTAAATCAATTAATAAAATGATTTTTATAGTCGAATAATGATAGTTTTTTATGAATTTTCCGAGTTAAAAATTGAAGATATGGCCTTATTTGAATGTGTTGGGGGTCATTACACGCTTCTTTTATTTGATTTCTTTTCTTTTAACACTAAACGATATATTTTAGATCATTTTATTTTCTTCCTGTTCCATTTTATATAATTCCCGATTTCTAGAATATGCTATTGAATAAGAATTTCTTTGTATATAATCACAGGAAAATCACGTTTAAATCTATTACAAATAATCTTTTCAAATGTCAATAAAGTAGGCTTGTGTTTCACGTTTCGGTATTCGTTATGTCTTTATATTAAAAACGGTAGTGTTAAAAAAACACTTAAAAGACGTGTTTCGACTGTGAAAAGTACACAGTTTTAGTATTTTATTTCTATTTTTATACTGATTTCCAGTATTAAATGTTGTTTCACACAAGTTCTTAGTGTTATGAATGTTTTATAACACATTAAAATGGATTAGTTTTAGTGTTTTTTAAGTGCACGGTACCTTTAAATATAAGCACTAAACTAATGTTTCATAGAAATTAGTGCCGATTTTCATATTAAAATATGAATTTATCAATCTCTACGAGATATACTCGACATTTTGAACGTAATTTTATATATTTTTCTATGTTATCTAAGCTTATAAATAGTCATAAAGATAGAAAAAAGATGCCCTTAAATCGTACGATCTCTAGAAACCATCATCATTTTGGATTTATTAAAATACGAGAACACTTCATAAACATATTTGTCACGATAGATCATGTGTCTTAAGGGGCGTCAGCCATTGCGTGATGCAATTGTAACATTCACGAGACGCCCACACTTCCTTACCTGGTTACCTAGGAGACGTGACCTTCTAAAATCCGTGACTACAATTAAAGTAGATATCGTTGTGATTGAACCTCACCTGGTGAGGTGATATACACTTCCTGTTATGATAAGCACTTCTTAAAGCTTCTTCACCTTCTCGAAAGCATCATTGTATTAATTTACATCCCTAAATAATCGTTGAAAGTGTTTAAAAAAATCGAGAAATAAGATCATTTAACTTTAATTAGAGGATCGATGAGAGACGATAGGATCTAGAAATGACGTATACTAGATATATAATACGTTTCTGTTGAATATTAATTATATGTTAAGCACGTATCAAGTGTTTTGTCATCTGTACCCCCTTCGAAACAATTAAAATAATATATCTCAATTTATTACAAATCCTGTTTTGCTTCTATAAAACTATCAAAAACTAGATCTTAATCTAACCTCCATAAACCGTCTTTGTTTACGTCGTTATATTATAAGATTGATTCAGTTTCAAACTTAACACCATTCATCTAAAATGACATAAAAGCTGAGGTTTAACCATGCAAGAAGGGAAAGAATTATATACCATCGAAGTGACCATTAAGTGGAACGTTTGAAAATATTTATAAAACTAGACGTTAGCCCATTTAAGTCAGTCAATCTTAATTTTGGATTCTTACGTACGACGAAGGGGGAGAGAAAAAGACACAAAAATATGTTTTGTCCTTGTTTTGTCACGTGTTGGGAGCAAAGCGTAAGAAACTGGTTTATAGAATAGGAACCTTGTTTCGCTGGCTCTGAACTGAATAGTCATTGTCAAACGTAAATTACAGTATAGGCCAACTTCAGAAAATGGAATCAGGACGGAGCATCTGTACAGATCTATTGGTGAGAGTTTTTTGCCTTAAGGCTCTTTGTCTCGGTAGGTGGAGACTGGTGACAGAAATGAACCTTACTTACACCGACTCCTACTACACTACTGTTTATTCTTAATCACACTTAACCAATATACATGTGCAACTACACAAGTATCGTGTGATGATATTCGTAATTTAAGAATCGATGCTCTTTGACCGAAGTCAAAGGTCACTTAGTAGTAAGACGAAACGTTCGAACACTTTCATTACTTTAACTTATAAAACTCGGCCCCGTCTTCTTCAATTTTTCGCCTATTTACAGTGTAAAAAATCTTTAAAACTATATTAAGAATACTCTTTATTCCTTTAGAGGATGCATCTGTAATCTCTAATCTAGCTTCTATTTTTTTTTGTATATAAAAATAATGTCTTAATTTTACTTTTATATCTCTGAAATCTATAATATTATGGTACATAAATATCTCTTATTTTTTTTAAAGTATGAAATTAAGTTACACGATCTCAATCCAGATTTTTAATATCATTGGAATGTCAATGTTCCCTTCTAATGAGTAGGAGATGAGGTTGTTTTTACACGTACAACCTCTATATCAGTCGTGACTGTTAAGGGTGGGGCATAACTATATGTTGTCTTGGACTGGGGTTGGGCCTTGTCTAGATTCAAGTGAATTAAATTAAAAAGTATCTTCACACACCCGAATTCGTGATGAACGAAGTCATAAAACGGAGAAAAAAATATAATTGTTTTAAGTATTTTTTTTTTAATTTTTTAAAATAATATAGGCCTAATAATAACATTTCGAGTTTACCGTAAGAAAAATTTTTAAGGTAATATACAGTAATACACGGGGATTTTATTAAGTAGAGAAGGTTAAAGTTGGAGTGGTATAAAGTATTTAGCCGTAAGACGAAATTTCCATCCTTATTTTATTTAAAATTCGTTATATAGAAGGGAGAAAGATATCTTACACCATCCACATACCAGCGAAGGACGTTGTGTGGGGCTAAACAAGGCCTCCGGATGGGATAAAGGCCTTGCTGTTAACCATCCAATAAGCTAGCAGCCAGACCACGTGGTCTTCTAGACACCAGCAGTTGCAAATGCTGCGTCAAACAAAACGGCACAGCTATAAAGTATAGCTTGGCCCGTGTGTACTGTACATCTCTATAGTTATATCGGTACAACTGTCAAAGGTATCGCACAAGGAGGAGGTAGATATTTATGACGTCACAGTTATAGAAATTAACAGGGGTTGTTTAGTGAAAGATCGGATGAAGACTCTAGGAGACGAAGAGTGTTGCCGGTGGTTCGGCCAGTTGACCGATTCTAGATTGGATGACTTTATGTCCTTGGTATCTACATATGGTGTATGTTCCCTGGTGCTGGTCCATTCTTCCTTCGCCAGGTAAATTAACTTAATTACTTTTACTTTCGGATCACAAATTTAAATATTTATAATCGATTTATGGAGAGTGGCTACTACCATAAAAATCTGCATTCATTTACCATTTAATTAACATTTCTAGCACAAATATATATGGTGTATGTTCCCTGGTGCTGGTCCATTCTTCCTTCGCCAGGTAAATTAACTTAATTACTTTTACTTTCGGAGAACAAATTTAAATATTTATAAAAAATATGTATTCTTAATGATCAATCTTTATTATGCTAAATATTCTATTTATTTCTATTAACTCCTGTTCCTAAGGTTTAAATGTCTAGTCTCGTCTTTCATCTATCTAACTCCATTCTCGAGATTAAGGAAAGACAGATGGACGGATGGACGATAGTGGGAATTTATGTCTACAATTTTTTCAAATTGCGGCCCAAGGAAAGATAGTTGCATTGTGTAAAAGCTTTCCATAGTGACCGTGTGACATTCTACTATCCAATTGGAAGTAATGATCTAATGAGCCTGTTATTTAAAATGTATTATCGCGCATCAATTATGTTCTGATAGTATTGTAGAATTTGTAGAAATATTAGTTACTCTTCTTGAATTTCTTGAAATCTGTACTCTTCTCAATTCTTCAATCTCTACTTTCTCATATAAAGTAGTCCATCATACTTGACAAGAGAATTTCTGTTAACTTCTAATGATAAGTGTACACCCCAAAAGTGTTTGAATTTTTTAAAGTTTTTACTGTAAGTAGAGTTATATAATGAGTGTGCTATATGATTTGGTTTTCTGAAAAATTTCATTAAAATAATAATTGTAGAAAGTATCAGAATTATGAAAATGATAAAATTTATTTTTGAAAAACTCTGAAGTTATTTAGGCTTTTTTCCGTTAACTAACAAAAATTCTTTTGATGAAAACATTAGCCAAAATTAATTACAATAGATCAAAATTACACCTTTTTTTATATTTTTACCAAAAAAACATTTAATAAAAACAGCTTATATTACCATCCTTCATAAGCCCATAAACCGAAATAAAATGCCGTGGCAATATTTGAAAATGAAGTCGTTGCGTGTTCAAAATCGGGAACTAAATTCTGCGTATTACCTTTAAGATATTAAAAAGGGATAATTTTATAGATGAGAAAAGATTTCATTTTTATATTTTAGAATTTTAAATATATGCATTTATAATTTTATAATTAAATAATAGATATATTTAATTTAGAATCTTACCTTCTGCCATTTTTACTGCACCTCCAATAACAATAATAACAACTGCTAATAATTTAACAGCTGTAAAAATGTTCTGAATTCTGGTTGCTAATTTTACGCTATAGCAATTAATGAAGGCAATAAGAGCTAAAAAAAACAGAAAATTAATTTAAATTAATTATACATATTTATACTTAGAAAAAATATGAGAGATGATGGTACATTAGATATGATAATCTGAATGAGTGAGTTGTAAAGTAAAAAGCCTTCCACTGTTGATAGGCTGACTATAGTTTCTTGATGCCAAAATGGAACAGGAGCTGCAATTGATAAATAAAGACCCTCTCTTATTAAAATTCCATCAAGAAATATAGATGAGCATTATTAGCAATTTGTTAGTACATTATAATATTGATTTAGTGGTGTAAAATAATACATAAATTTTGTTNAGTAAATCTTAAATGAATATTTTATCTGTAATAAGACAATGACACGTTTTGTTCCAGAAAAAACCCCCCAAAAACTATTAATTCTTTTTTATTATTCGAATTCTTCTTCTTCATTTTTAGATTTTAATTCATTGTACCTGTAATTATTTTGATTTATTACGTATTTATCTGGCTCGACCTATAGATAAATAATACCGATTGGTACAGGCCTGTTTAAGGTAGAACTTTTTTTGTCATTAATTTGTATACGAAAGAAAACTCATTAAATTAAAAAAAAGAAGACTTTTCGCCTATAGAATCTAATAATTTATTGAGTATTTAATAATGTTTTAAACTGATAATACTCGAAAAACGAGCGCTTAAAAAGTAGCAAGATACGAGAGATTTTTGAAAGTTAACACAGTTAACGACGGAAACTGTTCAAGATATCAAACTACAGACGAGAAATAATCGTGTTTTGTATTTTAATTACAAAAAAAATATAGGGATTTAGAGGTTTATACGCCGAAAAAACCGGTACGAAAGCGAAATATGCGCGTACACTTTTTTTATTTTGTGCAGAAAATTAAAAATAAAAGACTTAAAAGTCAGGAAAATAAAAGACTCTAAAAGAGTAAAAATAGGCATTTAATTTAATCAACTGGTCTTGGAATATTTAATGAATATTTTGGGCATTTATTTATTTATTTATTTGTCTACATCAATCTCTACTCGCTTCGTCCCGTACCCCGTCAAAGGCCTACAAATTACATATGGTTCTGGTTTGTACAAGACGTGTTTTATAGGTGGGGTAGCTGTAACCTCGGCCTTCGATGCCCACGGGTCGGGAAAACCCGCTAGGTCAAGAAAAACTACTACTATAAAATTATTCAAACATCTAGAGCTAGGGTTTTGTGAGGATTTCGAGGTGTTTACGGTAGCTCCCATTTACAATGCGGTAGGCCAACTCGATACTCCTTCACACCTCATACTTGGCATTTTATCTTAACTGTCGGGAATATTTATAATCTCCTTCTCTAACTCACTCGTTAATGCATTTTAATCTTCGCTTATATCGCGTAATTACTAAAGTTAATTGCGGGTAACTATTAAAATAAGGTTTTAATCCGTTTTTAACGTGTTTTCATCGTATAACTGCCTTTTTATATCCAATTTTAATGTTATAAACTATAAATTAACATTATAGTCGCGTAATTTATACGTAAATCCACTTAAGTTTTATCAATTATCGGCCCACGAGTGTACTGTTAGGAGATTTTTGGGTGCTGGGTGTAAAATTACTAGGAGAAAAAGTAAAATATTAATGGGAGTTTGCATTAGTATTGGCATATAGATGTATATGCATCTATACATGTATCAAATTTGTATACAGAGAGAGATGGATATGCATAAACATAGGTGACTATATAGATAGAGATAAAGACAGTAGAAAAACACAAGTGTAGAGACGTACCGTACAAAGTTATAGATGTATAAAGATATGTAAATCTACATCTGTATACATATGTTGTAGACAAAGATATGAATATGCCTATACATGTATAAGCGTGGACAGTAGTTATAGGCATAAATGTGGCAGTATTTATACTTCTATGTGTATAAAATAAATATATAATTATGTAGAAAATGTATTAACTTTTTAGTAAAAAGATAGGATAAAAAAGTACAGTATAATGTTAGGTGTTTAGTTAAACTTTCGAATTTATCTGTTGATAAATATATACATTTCTCTATTATCAGTAATAAATAAATAAATATTAATTTATTTTTTAATATAATTTCCTGTTTGAATTTTTTTAAAGTTGTCATGTAAATTTTCGAGTATGTTTACAACTAAATTATTTTATTATTATTCAATATCGATTAAATTTCCATAATAATTATACATTAAACCGGTAAATCTGTGTATAATCTCTCTATTGAATATAAAAATTCTGTTTTTTTTTAAGTTAATATTTTTCATTTTATCAATGGCAAAATTCGTATTTAATATTTCTTTATCCAAGTTCCTACTTCATTTTCTTACGACAAACAAACGGACGGACGAAATGAAATTTCTAAAATTAAAATATACGTATATTTATATATTTAATTTTTATATAATCTTCTGAAAAATTGTAATTAACGTATTTAAATAATAATAAAATTAATTAAATGGTGATTAAAATTATAAATATATAAATTGTAAGAATTTTCCAACAGTAAAAATCAGCCGGGATATTTATTGTAATTTTTTTGTTTTTTTAGGGAAAAAAGGGAAAAATTTTATTTCATAAATCAGTTATTAATTGTTGACATTGAGTAATTACGGTCATTTAGCGAATTTATTAAGGAACACGTAATGATAGTGATTAAAGTAATATTTAATACGTTGTCTGTCGATAGATCAAAGTGTGTCACACCACTTCCTCTTTTATAAAGATCATAAATGTAATATTTCAACACCATTCTTTTAATTTATTCACAATTAACACCAGAAAAATATTAATTTTCCCCATTTACAACTAAATATTTTCGAGATTTTAACTAGAAAAATCTTCTATTCTTAGTTTAAAAACCTTACACCATACCAATTTCTTTCTTGTTCTTGTCTTGATATATGCATTAAAATGTATGGGGTGGTCCAAAAATAATTTAACCGAGATTTATTTGTGTTTTTCGTGCACTCCTCCCCGAATTGAAATTGTAAATTTAATTGTAAAACGTGGAAATTGGATAAATAACGCTATTAATTGTTGCGTTAATTAACTTTTGAGCCGTTGTTTATAAGTCGGACTACTTAACACCTTAACCTGTTGTGTAGAGGAAAATTTGGAAACTAAATGGTCCATAATTTTCGTGATAAATGGCTTAAATTCCTCATTACAAATGATCCATAATGTATAAATTTTTATTGTTTTTCTCGAGTTTATTTATTTATTTATATTGTTAAAACTGCTTGAGAAATTAGATATATATATATATATATTTTAATATTTAAAACGATATTTATTAATTTATAATTATAAATTCGATCAATTTTCCGATTTAATTTGATGACGAACTGAATAAACGTAAGCCAGCCTACGTTAGAGAAAGGCGTTTTTTTTAGTGTTAATTAACGAAAAGATTTGGGTCCTCTCGTGTATTTTTGATACGTATGAGTCATAAAATGGGTATTTTGCGTCTTTATATGCAAATGTTTAGGTATAACATCCGGCATTGCTTCGTACAGTACAACATGTAATCGATTCTACTTTATGTTTAATTGCGGAATATTCTGCATTGGTAATTCGATACAGGAAATCGCTTAACGTGTTCAAATTATAAGAAACTCAATAAAGATCGATTTTTATACATGGAAATTTAAATATATTTTAATTTTTAAAAACACAATAAACATTGCCAGATTTCTTTTTTTTTTAATATTATTGTTTTAAGTAATAGAAGTNTTGTTTTTGGAGAGATCTTTATACAACAATTTCCGAATATATTCATGTATTGGAGGACGTTCAATTTTAACTGTCTATAAAATATTATTGTTTTAAGTAATAGAAGTAACTTACTTAAGCTTGATTTTTTGGTGATATTTATGTGTTTTTTGAGTAGCTTTAAGTGTTGAAGAGTTAAATTTTTGTTTTAAGTAATAGAAGTAACTTACTTAAGCTTGATTTTTTGGTGATATTTATGTGTTTTTTGAGTAGCTTTAAGTGTTGAAGAGTTAAATTTGTCGGTGAATCTACTGAATCTATCATTTTATGCTCTTAAATTAATTGTCTTGTATCGACTGTTATGGCCTATCTACACACAGTAGTGTGTTTAATCATAGCTTATGGCTGTTCAGTTATGGCTTTAACTACTGCTTAACACTGTTCGGTTGTGGTTTCATCTTCCATTTATGGTTCTACCTCTTACGATTTTCTAGTTTGAACTTCAATTTTTGCTCTCGGTTTTCCAGTTGTAGCTTCTAATTTTATTTACAATTGTTTGTATTGTGTGTTCCCTTCTTTGTTTCTCGCTTGAAATCTTGTTTATGAATGTTCAAACATACTCTACCTTCGAGTCCTGAAGGCTGTTCAGTTTATTTTCAAGTCCTACAGACTAGAGTTTCAAATTCTGAAGGTTGTTCGGTTTACCTTTAGATCCAGCTTTAATTTCTGGTTAGTTCCTTCCAGTATAATTTAACTTTCTCCTGTTAATTGTTCAGTTTAGCTCCACTTTCTGCTGATATTTATATAAATTGTGTTTGTATAGGCTTCGATTTCTATTTAAGGAATGGAAGCAGCTCATTAAGTAATTATAGTTTAAATTGCCACTTTTCTTATACTTGGAGGATAAAATGAGAGAACAAAGAACTCTTGCTGTTCAATAAGAGAGATTAAATTAAAAAATAACAATGTGTGATGAGAGAGCACGAATATTAATGGGTTATATAACTTAAATGATGCTAGCTCATTGTTTACGTGCATACATATCTGCATACATACATACTTTAAAATATGTTTCTAGAATAACTTCATTTATAAATATCATCGTATTACAGTTATCCTATAAAATAAATATTGTAAATCTATAAAATTGTAAGCTTATAGAACTGATCTTTAGTATAAATTTATCACTTATAAATTGAATATATATATATTTAAAGTAACTTTACATTCACAGTATGCGGAATAAAGCTTTAAAAATACAAATTAAAATATTTTTTTTGGTATTTTTTGTGAGTTTTAATAGAAATACGTTCCATAATAGCACACGATAGGCCATAATGTCTTACAGCCTGGTATTAACATATATGAATATATTAAGAAAAAATAACAGCATAAAATTGAATGTAAATATTAAAATTATCTTAAAAAATCCTTAAAATAAATCAAAATGATTAAAGTATTTAACTTAAGTACATCTTAAATACAGTGAATTTATCTCAAACTACAGTATAATCACCATTAACAATTAAGTAGTTAACAGGTTTCTATGCAAAAAAATATATATATTAATTTTTGAAATTGTTAATTATTTACTTTTATTTTAGTAAATGATATGGAAACCTTTTAAATTGAAAAATATGAAACTAAATAAGCTTTACAGACACGTAGAAATTGTTATGAAAGGTGTGTAATATCTCTTTGTAACGAAGGTAATTTCTCATTTAACTTTCCGTGAAAGTTGTCATCCTAAACAAGCATTCATCATGATATAATTATAGGATATAATCTAGATATTTATTTACCTGGTTTTGAAATCTAAAAAATTTGTATGTGTCGTCATTAACTGTATATTTAAGTATGGTATAAAGAAAACATCCACGAACAGAAGAGTGTATCTTTATGTAATGGTTAGAAACTTTCTTCGTTGATTACGGTAGGGAATTTTTAAATTTTTGATTATTTTTTAATGTTTTTACAATCGTAAATAGTCTCTAAATCGTTTATAATCGTTTCTAAATTCTAAAATTAGTCGCTAAATCGCTTAGAAGGTGACTAAACTTGTTACATTCTTTATTAATTAACTTGATATTCTTGACGGATAGATGCTAATTTTTGTAAGAAAATATTATATTTTATTAAATATAACTTTTTGTTATTGGAAAANGTAAGAAAATATTATATTTTATTAATTAACTTTTATATTTTTATTTAATATTCTTATTTGAATTGCATAAATGTATGTTTTTATGTATAAACCTAGTTAAAATGTGATAGATTTCTTGCATTGGAATAACACGAATCTTTTGGTATCGGGAATAGAATGAAATATTTATATACTTTTTTCCAATATAAAATAATAATATTTAATAAATAATACATTAAAAACATGTAAATATTATTTATTATTAAAATTTATTATAATTGGTGAGATATACAACACTTATTTTATTGAAAAAAAAGGAAAAAGTCAAGTAGAGATACCTGTTTAACTTATGCAAATAATCATTTTTTTATAATTATATATTAAGTACCGGGCTAAAATATTACTACATATGATAATTTTTATATAATTAAAATAAATAAAGCTATAAAAATTTATAATTTAATAGCATTTATTAGATACAAACTATCTACGTAAGTGATTTTATGTGTTTTGATTTCAGGAATGAGTGTTCCTCCCAATGGCAATAACAGCGCAGCAAACGTAGAGGATCAGTGCAGCCGAGGATCCGGAAAACCCCCTAAAGTATGTGGTGTATGCGGCGATCGTGCCAAAAGTTACCATTTTGGTGGTATTTCGTGTGATAGTTGCAAAGCATTCTTTCGAAGATCCGTCCAAAACGAAGCGTACAAAAATTTCCATTGCCCATACGAAGGCAAATGTGAAATCACCATAAGTTCGAGGAAATGTTGCCAGTATTGCAGATTCCAAAAATGCGTATCCATAGGAATGGAGAAGGGATGGGTGATGACAGAAGAAGAGAGGATGCAACTGTTGAGGAGCAGAATGGAAAAGAGGCAAAGGCAAGAAGCTGCTGCTGCTGAAGGCGATAGAATGAGGCAAAGACGTTTAAGTATCGTAGAATACGAACCAGATGTTAACGAATTAAGTAAATATTTAAGCGAAGACGATGTTAGAACAATAGAAATTCTAGTTAATTCGTACGAAATGAGTTACAGAGATATATCGTTTAGTGATCAGCTACAGAATCGTAGCATAGAAAGGACTAGAACTGAAATACTTGATATGTTTTTTACTGTTATTAAGCAATTTGCACATTTCGCTCAAAGACTCGATTCTTTTTCAAAGATTCCTCAAGCCGAGCAAGAAGTTCTTTTAAGAACTGGTGTTCTAGAACTGTGTTTCATAAGAGGAGCCTACGCTTACGACGAAAGGCACTGCTGCTGGCCCGATAAACGTAAATCTTTATATAGAGATTCGCCCATACTGGTGTTCGAAGACATGAAAAAGTTAGTATCGCCGACACTATACGAAAAACACATGAAATTTATATACAGTGTGAAAGAACTAGAACCAGACGAACCTACAATAATGTTATTACTAGTTATTGTTCTTCTAAGTCCGGATAGACAGGGTCTAGATAAAGTGGATGTGGTGGCATCCGAGCAAGAGAGGTTTTATATATTGATGAAGAGTTACATGAACTGGAGATACGGGCCAGAAAACACTACAATTCTATATCCTAAATTACTCTTGAGGCTTCCGGATTTACGCGAACTAGCAGATGCCCATACAGATTACCATTTAAGGCTTGCCAAAGAGGAACTCGAAGAGATCCAACAACGTTTATCTTCTTTGAAAATCGTATCTAGTGCAAGCAATCAAAGTATCGAATCTTTACCCATGACATCGTCTAGTTTAGAGGTGAGTAGCGTGTTTCATAGGCCATGGTGTATGAGGAAGGATGCATTGCAGATCGTAGGACCTATCTCACCACTTTCACCAGAAGAAGAATCTAGTTCGAGCGAAGGCTCCGAAAGATTTACACCCATAAGAAGTTGAGATTCTTATAAAAATCCAAAAAGACTTCACCTATTATATCTTCATCCGTCCATTTAAAGAATTTACGATCTCACAAAGTCAGATGCATATCTTTTTTAATTAGCTGTGATGGATTTTCAAGAGGAAATCTTCAACTATTTAAGTCTTTGTTAAATTCTTATGGAGGAAAAAAGATTCAAAAAATTCGTGTTTTTTGATCTTTATCAAAGTGATTGTAAATTAATTTTAAAGTTTATTCTCTTATATATATATATATAAATATATATTTATCCCAAAGGGAAGACAATTCTAAATTGTGATTCAAAAGTATACGAGAGATAAAACAGGTTTTTTTTAAAAAAAAAATTATACACACACACACAAAAACAAAAGAATTTAACAGAAATTTTCTATTGATAAATTAAGCACATTTGCATTTACTGTCTCAGGTTTTGTCATTTCTCATACAGAAAAAAAAAATTAATAACAATAATAATAATATTAATAATAAAATTATTTATGCTTCTGTGATGAATTCTTAATTTTAGAATGCATTTTTATTTATTTATTTATTATTTTTGGCGGTTTGGGTTTTTGAAAATGGCTAAAAAGACTTTTTTTTTAATATAATATTTAATATGTGATTCCTATTTTTTTATTAAATAAAATCGTTAATAAAGATGATGTGGGCTCTCTATAGGAAAACTGGAGTGAATACACTTACAGGGCCTACAATTATTAAATTAATTATTTTAATTTTATGTATGGAAGATCATCTAATTATTTTATAAAATTTTAATAAGAACTTGATTTTTAGAAGGACTTATTTGAATATTTCTTATTATCTCCCTCTCTCTATCTCTCTCATTGAAATCTTCTAATTAATTTAAAAAATATATATATCTTTTATTTATTTATTTAGTTTTTAATATAATTCACCTGCTAAGCAGGAAATTTATAACAGAATACTTTTTAAATTAATCTTCCTAACAACTTTTATCAGTAAAATCGTACAGAATCCTTTAAAATTCGGGGTTATTAACAGGAATCACCATTAAGGTCGAAGCTTCTTTTAGACTAAATTCCACCCTATCTTCATCTTTATTTTTTTTTTAATTTAGAGATTTATTCTAAGAAATCCGGTTCTAGTCCTTCCTGATAATTTAATAGTGTGTTTACGATCATAGGGGTTTTTTTTTTATTTTTATTTTTTTTAAAGAAAGAATTTCCTGCCATGTACAGTACCCATAAGTAAATGGATCTACACACATACACACTCACTTGTTAACGTGTCTGGTATTCGATACAGTACGTGTTCCTTTAATGGAACTTTAAAATCTTGATGGGTCTCAACCGTTCTACAATGTCCTATAACGAACTAGTTGGTCCCACAAATTTTATCCCGTTTCAGACAGGTGTTATGCTTCCACCTGCGGCTACCGTTCTGCACGCAATCAAAGAGAGTAGAAAAAAAATACCACAAAACTTTAAAGAAAAAAAAAAATGCCACCTCACACCTGGCCTCCGAGCACTGCTTCCAGCACCAAGTTAGTTCGCTGAACCTTAATTTGTATATGAAATTTAATTTAATGTATTCCACATTAAAAATGAGATTAAGTATTTTATTTTTTTTTTATTTTTTAAATCTTCTTTATTTATGTAAAAGTTTACTTTATGAATTTTTATATAATTTACATATTATACTTTTAGATTAAAGGGTGGTTTTTTTTTACAATTGGAATTAAAATTTAGGCTGTTCGGATCCGAAATTGCTATGTGAAGTAATACGAGTCAATACTTTCGTGTAGCTCATTTATCATACCTTTTTATCCTTTAAAAAATTCATTTTAAAATTGAAATTTTCTTCTATTTTACGTATAAAAATACGTTTTTAGTATTTTCTATAAACCTTCCTTCGTTACGTGATGATTTTATAGTTTTATTTTATGNTATACTTTATATAAAAAAATTGTAATAAGTAATTTATAAACGTTCGGTAAATTTGTGCGTGTTTATTAGCCACGAACGAATTTGTTATTCTACCCTCCTATGGCTAGCATTGGAGAATTTACTGGGGGGGTCCAATAGTTAGTTAACCATTGCTGATCTTTCCAAATACTGTATTTTACAAACTGTTTCGACTGTACTGTACGTTACGCCGATCTTTTTCTAAAGTTTGTGTTTACCTGATTTTCGGACCACCCTGTTCTGTACTTTGTACCGTTTGTACGATGCAAAGAATGCATTTCCATATTGGTTCGGGGCGAAATCTTCAGTGCTCGTACGCCGAAGTGCTTTCAGATTTGCAGTTATCCGACTTTTGGGCCACCCTGTACTTTTAATCTTTTGCTGAAGAAGGTGGCAAAAACACATTGGCTCATTGTTCAAGACGAGGATTTTAGTGTTCGGGGCGCCGACTTCCTTTTAAAGTAGCGGTTACCTGATTATTGGGCCAGCTTGGATTTTCACCATTTTGTTAAGAAAATAACAGGGTTGCCTAATAAACGCACCTTTCGAAGAAATATATGTTTATTTTGGTGTAAAAAATTGCATCGGATATGACTCTGGAAGGTTCTTAGTGAACCTTTGCCACCGCTAAGAGCACTTATTCAAAGAAAAAAATACCCATTTTTTAGTAACTCCGTGATAAACGAGTTGCCATTTTTGTGCTCTAAACTGGAAATTATTATCGAGAATAAATTTCCAAAACGGATCGATATCTGGTCCTTTGTTTCGAATGTTAATTGCAAATAATGATGCTTTACATGATCCTCTCTTATCTCCAAAGCATCATTGTCTTATCATTCTGTATTATCATCTAAATGATAATTAAAAATATTTAATGCTCTAATTCCTTTTTAATTCCTTACTGCAATAAATCCAGAATTCTTACGGAATTCAAAAATTTTACGCTCGACGATCGAAGAAATATAAAAACTTAAAGAATTTCATCTGAAAATATGGTGGCCCGAAAGTTGCTTAACCATTCTAAAGATTTGGCTGTTCTTATCAGAATAAGAACAATTTAGGCGTTACAATGGTTAACTGATTTTTGGGCGTGCATATATTTTAAATCTTGTATATTGTATGTGTATATTTAATACCGCTTCTTTTAATGTTAAGTGAAAATATTTTAGTGGAATTTTCTTTCTACAGACACGAGATGTGTTCTATACTTTAACAAGTAAGACAAGAGAGAGAGGGGGAGAGACCCTGTGAACTCGATAGGTGCAGTCAAACAGGGTCTAGGAATCGTAAGTTGATATTGATGATGTAATATGCAAGTAGGATATTTAATATCACGTAAACTGAGATGGCGTGATTCACTGGTATGTGTACACAATGCGTTTAAGAAACGCGATTGTTCATAGTTAAATGAGTCAATATTAAAGCCCTGTTCCTCCCCCTTTTTACCTCTTACGTAAACTTATTTAAGTCTTAAAGGAATCTTTTATTTTCTGTTAACACGTGATATTTACAATTTTATAAATATTAACACGTGGCGAATTTAAGTAAGACACCGTCTACATCGTCATCATCGTCTCATAAAGTGAATCATAAACATTCTGGATGATTTTTTACATAACATAAGATAGATATTAAAATTCATAAAACGATCTCATTCGTGTCTTATGCTTTTAAACACGTGTGCTTTTAAAGGAATAATATTCTTTATCTTTATGTCTTATACTTCTAACCTTTATTTTAAATATGTTTACTTTACAATTTTAACATACTTGATATATAAAACTGTGGTTTACACAATAAAGTGAGGTGTAGTATAATACACTTAACATAAAGTGAGGTTTAGCATATATAGGCCTATATAAACTTATATATATACTTGGCATATTATCAAGCATATTTTTATGGTAAAATTTCGATTTTAAATTTTACCATGAATGATGTTAAAAACTCCACTAATTTACATATCGAATAATCTGTTTAAGCATCGTCTCACCCCTCGCAACTCATCTAGTGGAAAATAATTATATTTAAAAATGAAATTTTGTATAGGAGAAGTATAATTAAGATTCAAGCGTAACAAATGTTGATAAATTGTTACTTGTACACTTCATATAATAATAATAAAACACTGGATAATTTAACTGTCAATTTTACGTGTTTAATTACTTCAACGTAGTCACGAATTATATATTATTATTATTAATAAAGTATACAAACGAAGATTCGACTCAATTGACTTATTTTAAAATATTTAAGAAAGAAAAAGACACAAGAAATTGTCTTGTTTATCAACAAGACTAAATTTCTTTACAGTTTCTATAGTTCTTTCTTTAGCTACACTATCGAGTGCATACCAGAATTACTTACGTGTCGACAAACTGACGTTCTTCGTAGGCGTTCTAAACTACGTTTTCCAATATGACGCACGCTGCCAGAAAGATCTTTGTGATCAAGAATAGAAGACGACTTTACTCTTTAGTATTCTATTGTCACGCTATTTATTTTAGTATATAAAATAGAGGAACCGAGTGAAATTTCTTAAAATAGAAGACGAATCGTTAAATATTACGGTGTAGACTTCATTATTTATTTAATACGTATTTTTCACACAAAAAAATTATCATTTATAATTTATCTTCTAGTGTTCTTAGTGTACTTGGAAGACATAAAAATCAACCGAATGAGAAATAATTATCGAACAATGAAACTAAAGGTTTCGCTTCATGGTTTGCAACTGTTTTACAGGAAGTCTTATAATAGACTAGACTACTATTATCTATAACAAAACCGTATAAGCCTTATAACTTTTTAAGTCCGTAATGAATGGCAACGTTTCCTATAAGTAACACTCCACGTTCGTTATGAATAACGGAGTCGTAGTTTCCCTAACACGTATACAACCACCCCCCACGCGACGACGTTTACGTCAATAGTCTCTAGAAAACGTAACACCTGAAACACGTGAATATTCACGTGTTAATAAATTAATAAATACGAGAAGGAAGTAACTACACGTTAATAATTGAAACATCTTTCTGCTCTTTTGGCAAAAGAAAAAAAAATCCGACAGCTGTCACATTTAAAAATCACTTTTATTCAATTATTCGTGGATTTAGAATATATTTAAAGGAAGAAAATTAAAATTAATTTTATTTTAAATTATTTTATCAGATTAAATTTAATTCTCGCCTTGTTTTAGGGTCGAAAAAAACACGATTATTACGCGCTTACAAGCCGACAAAACTGTAAATATTCTTAAGAAATTATTCGAAATTCTAATAAATAATCGTTTAATAAGCTTATTAATATTCGAGTCTAACAAAATAAATAATTTTTATCTAAATTTTAGTCTATTAAATTTAAATAAAAAATTGTTTAATGAGTGTAACTATAATTGATACATTGTCGCAAATATTGTTGCAAACGCGTAAAGAATTCTAAATTAAAATGATAAAAAGTATTAAAAAAAATTAGAATGGTATCTAATTTATTACTTAAAACTTAACATTATCT